AATATTTTCAAGTGATAATGGATATTATTACTGTCTGATACAAGTTGTAACGTAGTCTTTTAATATATTTATTACATCTATTATATAACAAACAGAAATGAATCAGCATGATGATAATAATAATTTATTTTAAAAATTAATTTTCAATAAACCAAATTTGGTAACTACTAGAATTTCTAGGAAAGTTTTAGGCATTTAGTGGCATTGAAAAAAGTTTTAATAGAAGCTACAATTTTTTAGTTGTCATGATGAAATTCGGATTAATATAATTTTATAACTACATAATTGGCGGTATAAATTAAATTTAAGAGTTTATGAACTTCTTATGACTTACCTCGAGTCGTATAAATGAAACCGAACTAAACATAAAAAATTTTATTACTGATGACCATGCTGCAGAATTGGTTAGGAATATAATAAAAACTAGCAAAAATATAATCATTTGAACAATTAATACAATACGCATTGCCTAAAATAAAATGATAGATAATTAAATAAAATTCATTTTTATAAAGTATATAATTATAAAATATTGACAAACCTTTCGATACAGATTTTTTTCTCTCTTCAGTAAAAGAAATATTATAAACCAAACTATGAACAGGCACACTACATTGCGGCCCCAAAAATTTAATTTTCTGGAATTTTATAAGTGGATTATTATTATATAATTTCTGATTTGAACTTTTCAATTTCATACTTTGTGATTAAATTAAATAGAAGTATAGAAGAATTAAAATCGAACTTAAAACCAAATATAGTTACTTATAAAATATGTAAGAAGACAAGTGTTGCAAATTTGTTAATCTGGTTTCTCTTGGTCCAATACAAGGTTTCGAGTCTAAAATTTATTAAAATAAGCTACAAATTAATGAATTAATTTAAAATGTAGAATAATGTAATGTTTAATGAATAAATATTTAGTATATTTGTACCGACCTGGTTGTGCACAATTTAACCATTGGGTGTTACTAAAAATCGCATTGGCAAAATAGTAAGAAATTGGCGGTACAAGCGTTGTGATCTACTGAAAATAGAATATACAGAGTTATGTAAAATAATATATATATATATATATATAATATAATATATATATATATATGATGTATATATATATATATATATATATATATATATATATATATAATGTTGGATTTGGCCAGTACGTTGCATAACTAAAAACCCTAACGATAAGTTTGTTATTGACTGATTCATAATTTTTATCATTGAATGTCAATATCAATTGCATTTGATACATTTATGTATGAGAAGTTGTAAAAGTCATGAGAATGTTCTTTGTTTGTTCTTAAATTTGTTGTTTCTAGAAATAATTTTATAACAATTCTTTCAACTTCAATATCTATGTGTAACATGGATTTTTATAATTTTTTTTATGGTAGATACCATAGTCTTATAGATCGTACTAAAATATCACGGCACTGCGACAACTCGTTTAATTCTAAAAATTCGTCAAAGTTTGCAAAAATTAGTACCGTTTTTTGGAATTTGTCAAAATTAGACGTTGCATCGACGTTTTTTCAAAAACGACTGAACCGATTTCAGAAATTCAAAAGCCAGTTAATGTATCCCGAGAAGGATTATTGTTTCTCAGTTTTGTGCAGCGATCGGCCGAGCCGTTTTTTTTTGTAATTTGGAAAAAAAGTGTAAAACTTTTCATCCACATTTAAGCTCATACTACCGAATCGATTATAAAAAATAAAAAACTGTTCGAAAGATATTAGTTGGGAATGATACTCAGTAGTTTTAGGTGAAAATCTACCGAGCTGTTTTCTTGTGATTAACTGTTGAAAATAAATTAAGCCAATTTTAATGGAATTTTTTTGGCGATATATATCATGGTCTTATAGAACTTACTGAAATATTACGGCCTTACAACAAGTAATTTAATTTTAAAAAGTTATCAAAGTTTGAGAAAATGTAGTTTTTTTTTAGGTTTTTTAAAATTAAAATTAGACGATATATTTGGTATAACGATAGAGTAATTGGTCTTAATGAACATACTAAACCATTAAAGGCCTACGAAAACTGGTTCAATTATAAAAATTATTGATTTTTGAAAATTTGCTTTTGGAAAATACTCCGAATTAAAGTGTTCGTTCGTTTTCAAATTTGTGTTGTAAATCCAGAAGGAATACTTTTAATCACTCATAAATTAATTCATTTTTTATCGATTATTTACACTAATTGGGAAGTTCATGTAACTTGCCTCAAGGCAAAATACCAATAGCAACTAGTTGATATATATAGATGAAGTATTACATACCGCTAGGCAACTGCACGTTGAGATAAAAATAAGGCAATATCCTAATCCTTTGGCAATAGGAAACATAGTTCGGGCAATTTGGATACAACTCCCATTTCCGTAGTGTCCAATAAATAATTGTGTATAATAAAATGGTAAGCCAAACAATATCATAATCACGATGTAGTGATAGACTGATGGTTCTACAGCAGAAATAACAAATTCATTACCATAATTGCAATATAAAATAATGGCATAATAAATAATGCTTTCAAATCGAATAACATCTATATTATTCCTGGGAACCCCAGTTACATTTAGGATTTTAGGCCAATATCTGTGCTTTGAGTTTTTCTTTATATTACATTTTTCATCTCGCAAACGTGCAACGTTTTTCATTAATTTTCATTAGTTTTTATAACTATTTCAAGGGAATCGTTTTAAGTATCAACTCTATCATCATATAAAGTTTCATCATTATTCCGTAAGACCATACTCCAGGTTCTCCTTGTTAGTAATATATCATGGCATCATGTGGTTAGTATGTACTAAATAAAGGCCAATTTAATTTAAAACCGATAAAAAAGATATTACCTATTTATAGTGAAAAGTTATATCTGATAATATGCATTTTACGAAAACTATTAATATAAAGACGTTGTCAAACCTTGTTAAAGCAAATATTCGAAATCATGCTTTCAGACATCACAATATAGAACTAATTCAATATATATGAAAATTGTAAAAAAATAAAAATTTAAATAATGAGAGTTTGAATATAAATAGGAATTCTAATAATATTTTATTTTATTTTATATTTCTTACTTACGCAATTCGAGCCTAAAGTTCCAAAAGTTAGCGTAAACCAAAAAATTAAAAGGAGTAAATAAATAAAGAATTCCTTCGCCTAGGAACTCATATATTGATTTCCACGATTCCTTTCCTCGTCTTACTATTTGTTGCTGTTTTATAAAATCAAAAATTATTCGACTGAAATAAACATTTCTCTATATTATACATACCGAACTGTGTTTTCGCGGTCTAGTAAAATCGCGTCGGCCTAATCTACCGTGGAAAATCCAATATTTTCTGTGCATATTGCGAATTTTATATTACCGTTATTATAAAAATTAGTTGTCAATTGTGACATTTGTCAAAATTAGGCAAATTAGTGGCACAAATGAAGTAGATTCATTATTACAAACTGATTTTACCATTTGAATTAAAAATCCTAACGTTTGTGGTCATATAATTTATTATCCATCTTTCGTGTTCATAAAGTCTAGTAAAGTAAAGTATGTTGCAACTGAAATTGATTGACATCGTCAAATTGATTTACTTTAATTGCATATCACAATCAAACGTGCTATCAACTCATATAATTTTTGAGAAGTTACTATAAATTTTATTTTATTTATTAACATATCACATAGGAAAAAAATCGGAAAAGAAAACTTTTAGAGAATGTCTACTTTTCAGAAGTTTTAGTCCTAATTTTAAGTTTTCAGATCTGGTTCCAAATTTCTAGATGTTACAACAGGTTCTAACATTTAGATCTGGTTCTAACTTTTACTCCTGGTTCTAACTTTTACTCCTGGTTCTAACTTTTACTCCTGGTTCTAACTTTTACTCCTGGTTCTAACTTTCAGACCTGGTTCTAAATTTTAGAATCAGATCTAAAATTTAGAAAGATATTATTAGTATATAATTGACCAATATATTATTATAGTAATCGCAAAAATTTCTAAAATGAAATTTTCTGCATATTCTACGTTTCAGAGGTTTCTGAACATTTTTAAAAAAATATATGTATGTGTGTTTTCATCCACAACCTATTTTTCATCCACCATTTAGGGTGTACGGATCAACCAATTCGAATGATTTAAAAACATTTGATTTGTATCGATTGGGAGACATGCTGATTAGGTTTTGGCAAAGGCAGGTCCAACCGTTTTGAAGATACGGAGCAAAAAATGCAAAAAATCGATCAAAATTATTCAATACATACGGTATCGGTTTTAACCCGTTAGCGTATATTTTTGTTCCTTTTTGTTTTTGTATAATTGAATATTACAAGAAATATTCATAATTATTAACTTATTGCATATATTTTTCGAAAAAAAATTGATATTCGGGGCAAATCTATAGTAAATATATGAGATAAGGTACTTTATTGCATGATAAAATGTGATATAAAATCCTTTTATTATTCAAATAATTTCGCTCGATTAGATTTAATTCAAATATATTTTATTTAAACATTTGTAACGTCGTCGTCGTCTGATTTATAAGATCTTTTATTTTGTTTATAATATACGAATGAGGAATGATGCAAGTGCAAGTATTTGTGATATCTATTCATGATTAATTTTTGTTAATTGATTATAACCAATCAAACTAAAATATATTTTCCATCAATTTGCTTTAAGACACGATGCCATGCGCCACTAGTTTGTCTATAATATATGAATAATGCACGTTATAGTATTTATAATATCTAATCAATGATTAATTTTTGTCGAATGATTATTTTGATTCCTCTAATGTTAATTACGGTTCGGAAAGTTCCAGCAATTTGCCTTAAAGCACGATGATATGTACCACTAGCTTTTATATTTGTTGTTTCTATTTTTATATTACCCGCGTGAAATTGATACACGTTGCCAACATAACGTCAACTGTCAGCGCTGTCAAAGTAAAACAATGCAACCAACCATCGAAACAAGTTTGACGGCCACGATTCTGTAAGTCAAATCGTGTTAAATTATAAAATTCTGTATTATTTAATTTTAGTAGTTTTGTATAAAAATAAAGCAGCAGGTCATGCATTAAACGCGTTATGTTATTCTAAAACCAAACGTTCAACATGTACTGTTTGCAATGGCTAATTCCAGTCTTGCTCATACCGAAGCCCGTCAATCCAGCCTTGATTCATAGCCATGTTATGTTCATGGTTTTGTATTTGATAGGATTCTTTCTAGAACGAAAACCATGCACCATTTGCAGTGTTATATTCCTGGTTGCTCTATTTCTAATTTGCTACAGTGGAATGGGAAATTGTCTATTTTGGGCAAATGACTGTGAAAACACATATGAATTGTGTGAACATGGATGATTGCCGCTTCTTCCAACTACCATATCCACATGAAAATTAAATGTGTGTAATATCAAGAATAATGGATAAGACCTTTTACTATGTGACATCAGTTTGCCTTATATATATCAAGACTTTATGTGGATTACAAAGAAACTTTACCAAAGTGTATATCTGATATTGTTAAATCATTAATATTATTTCACTGTGATGAAAAGCTATTTTAGCAGTTTAAGTAAGAGATCATGTTAATACATAGTTAATAGCTGTATGATGTTTATTTTGTAAATACATTATGTAAAGTACAAAATTTAACGTTGCATTTTTATTGTTGGTTAAAATCTACATGCTATGTTTGTTAAACGTTGTTACACTTGCGAAAACAATTTTCTCTACTTTCGTTTTTAAGAAATGTTTGAGCTATGCAGATCTTTTCTTTAAAATGTAATACTTGAGTATTTATAAACATAAATATACTTGTTATATTAATCATTGATACATTCATTACAATGCATTCACACTTCTTTGTTCGCTTTACACAAACATGTTTGCAGATGCTATATTCGAAAAGTAAAATTATTATTAAATGAGTAAAATATGAATATATATAACATCAAATATAATTTCATCAAATATTAGTTGTAATGTATAAATAATAATCTCAAACTTTTGTAATTTATGTTCATAATCATGTTTAAATTAAAACTACATATTTTCAACAGTTCACTTTAATGATTTTGTATTACAAATTGAAACGATAACAATTATGTGATTAAATATCGTAATATTGAACTTTCATTTCTGTTGCATTTTGGACAGCATTTATATTCAAATTTATGCATTTGTAATAATGAAACATAGAGTAATAGTAGAGTACATATATGAAGTTATCTATAAATATGAATGAGGTAACAATTCCAAAATATATAAAATATCTATTATGATTGTATATTTATCTATTCGCTAATGTATTAAGTAAAGAAAAAACTGCATAATTTTCATGGGTTCTCGATACATCTTGAGCTGTTTTTCCAGCAGCGTTGACAGCATTTACATCAGCACCCAGTTCGACTAAACGTTCTGCCATTTTCACATCACCCGTCATAGCTGTTATATGAAGAACAGATCTTTGGCCAATTGGATCACGCACTTTGATATCAGCTCCTCCTGTAAAATTTATTTTGTATATTAACTTATAATGCAAGTGAATTGTAAAACAAATTTATGAAGTAAATTATTAACATGAAGTATTTCTTAGAAAAGACAAACGTTTTCCCAAACTTGGTCTATCGAATGTAACAACTTTTATGTATAATTGTGTCTTTATATAATAGCAGACAGTAAAATATAGCAAAAGACCGAGCAAAGTGACTTATTCTAAATTAAGTACTTATTATCAAATATAATGAAGAATCAATAAGGCCTCTTTGCAACGATCAGGAATTACAACTACCGCCAAAGTTTAATAATTGATGGTTTAAATGTAGTTTAAAAACTTTTTGATACTTGATTATCTGCATATATAACTTAATTAATTAAAAAAAATTATTCCCGTATTTTGTTCAAAGTAAGTCAAATTTTTCATTGGATATTGTACATAAAGACTACAAATATAAGAAATTCGAAAGGCAATATACATATAATACGTGTAATATAGGCAATATATGTAGATTATTCAAATTTTGATATGTATATGAAATATTAATAATTTTACTTTAACTTTAAATAGCATTTTGATTGATTTTAGATAAAGCTAAATTAATTGATGATTACTTTTATTATGAGATACAATTTTTTTTTCATAAATTTGAATTAATTTATTCATAAATTTGAATTAATTATTGGTACCGCCGGTGAAAAGGAGTTGCGAAACAACTTCAAATGGTTGACAAAAATTTGACACATTTGGTTTATTTTGTAATTGTTATTTGGCTCATTTTATGTATTTTTAGTGTGTCAGTTGTTGTTTATTAACATGTTAATAAACAGTTAAGTTTTATAAGTGTATGATAGTGAAGCAAATCAAAATTTTAAAACTCAAAGGTAAGTACATACGTATATTTATAACATAATAGCAAATTTATATTTATTTACTACTTGCCTTCTACTAACATTTCAACGATTCTAATTTGATTCGGTTGGTTAGAATTTAGTACAGCTTCGAGTAAAATTCCCATACTGTCCGAACCTCTTGCGTTTGCATCAGCTCCTGTATATATTATTACTTATATAATGTAATTATATTATGTATAATAATTAATATAATAAAATAAATAACGTGTTCATAGCCATGTCAGTCATATGTGTCTGACGCTAAGTACTTCCACATGAGTCACTTCGAGAAAAACGTTTTAATAAGCGCCATTATATCAGTTATATATGTATGACGGAGTTTTGATAAAAAACATTTTTTTTGATAAATATGTAAAAAGTTTTCTTTATACATGTGTGCATGAAAAGCATTTATGCATCCCATGCTGGTTTTTTATCTGGGTATGTCGGTTTCTCTCAATACCGCCTGGGTATAATACCGACTAAAACCTCCGCTTTTTCCTTGCCTCTTGTCCCCTTAGGCATCACTTCGCGGGGGGAGAATCTAGAATGTTATCATTCTTGCACTGATTTTATACTTATCTTTTTAAATGAGCAAAGTGAAACATGTGTGCATGTGTGCGTTAACATGTGTTAACGTGTGCATTAATTACAAATCAGGACTAGGTGTTCTATACGCTGTTGTGGACTATGCTCATTTCTCATTTCTATATTTTAATTTTTTTTTTGACAAGAGTTATGAAAAAGCAATCCAATGATTGTTTATACTAACTGTGATTTTATATATTTACTTCTGAACGCTATTAAAAGGCAACCTAACATTGTTCTTCCTAATTATAACTATGCCCGAAATGGCTATATTTTATCATGAAAACATATTAGGTCGATATTTTCAATTGAGAACTGATTTCACTACTGCTTGATATCAGGGTGTCCGAACTTACAACTTATAGCAAGCACTTATAACTATTATAAAAGTATTGCAGATGCATAAAGTTTCGAGAAGGTATTTTAATTTAAAATATTTTATCTGTGTAACTTTGAAAAATATATGCCATTAATATTTTTTCGACTATAAACTACTTAAGACGTTTATTTGATATCCCAATAAACTACAAAAGTTAAAATAACGTATCATAAAATAAATGTTGTTACGTTGTTGATGGTTACGTTTATATTACGTTTAGTTGTAACCTTTAATCGGCATGAACGTAGATACCTCCTACATACTTGTTCGTTATGTGACGAAGTAAATATTTACTTCAACAGTTGTAGTTTGCAAATTTCAGAGTACTACCTGTAATGCTACTGGAAATGATTGAAACCATGAATAAAAAATTAATAGGTATAATTGTAAGCAAAATTAATTTTATTAAAATTATGCAAAACCGCATAAATTCTTAAGAAGTACTCTTATATAACTAGCATCGTTATGGCCACTGGTGTGCGTTTGTTATTTATAAACGATCCAACATTTTTTATAATTTTATCAACGATAAGAACTACGTGGTTTATAAGCTGTTTGTACACTTTGATCTAGTATGCACAAACTAATGGCCATCTACTCTCCTTATATGTGTAAACTGAATAAATTTCATATGTTTATCTAGCAGTCATCGAATATGTTGCACTAATGCCCACAAAGACCATCACGTTTCACTAAAGATTATATTTGAAATCTTTAACCAAGTGAAAATTTGATATCATACTGCTTGATATCCAGCTAGCCGAATATAGGACGAATTTGGGAAATAGTTTACGTTCTAAATTGATACACAATAACGGGTTTCAATAATGATCAGTAAGCTGATTTTCATACCACTTTTGAGAAGTAATCTCGAAATTTTAGGGTTTGGCCTCGTCACAATGGCGTAGTACAGAGGCACGTCACCAAAAGCATCTCTGGCATTTATATCTGCGCCATACCGTAGAAGTAACTGTACTATATTTTCATGGCCCCGAAAAACTGCAACATGCAGTGGCGTGCGTCCCATTTGGTCGCCTTTGTCTATTTTAACTCCATGTCTGGAAGAAATAATTATGTCGATTGGTTCCAGTTTCTATTCTTTTTAAGTAATGGGTTTGCCATCTAACATTTTTTGCAGTCAATGGCGATCGTTATCGGACCATGTTGAACGAAATTGGTTCACAAAAATTGAAGAGGAAGATATTGACAACTTTAGGATTCAACAGGATGACGCTATGTGCCATATAGCCGAAGCTACACTCAGCATTATAGCATTTTAAAATTTATTTGGCCGACCCTATAGTTATTATTTCGGTTATAGCTTTTATTACAATGATAGATTGTATTGAAAAAAAGAACCAATCAGTTATGCCCCGTTTTTTAAAAAATATTGAAGCTCAAATGCTATAGAAGACACGTTATCAACTTGATGAAGAAAGTTATAAGAAATATAATTGAAACCAGTAGAATTTTTTTCAATGTCTGCGCCGATTTCATTATGGAACGTCAGCAAAATTTGGTAGTACTTAGAATGTCTAAACCGATTGCCAATCCTGTAATTGGACATCCGGGTATGATGGTAAAATAAATAGTCAAATCATTTCTTACCGTAAAAGCAGAAGCAATATGGATTCATGTCCAACTTGAGCGGCTAAATAAAGCGCTGTGAGGCCGTAAGCAGTGCGACAGTTTACATCTAATTTTTGGCGCTTCAGTAATTCTTTTATTACTTCAACATCGCCTCGTTCGGCAGCTATGTGAAGAGATGTTACCTTAAAATATGAAAATACTTGTATCAGGAGTATTGTGCACTATGCTAGATATAAATGAAATTCTGGTAAGTTTATACGTGATGAAGAAATAGATCAAGTTTAGTTTCCAGTCCATCGCGAAATTTACAAAGAATTACTTACTTAAAATAAAATCAGCTTTAACTCCATGAGCTTTATAAAACTGGCATTGATTTTGTCATAACTATTCTATATATCTATAACTTTTAGGCACTTTACAAAGTAAAATCAAATTATTTTAGAAATAGGGACAATAGCAAGAGTGACTAGACCTGAATCAAATCTTGGGTTTAATCCCACTATGAGGAGCCTGATGTCAAGCAGTATTGACATCGGTTTTCACTTGGTATATGGATAGCAATATGTTTTCAAGTTCTAATCGAATTACAAAATTCTTTTAAGAAAGGCTAACAAGCACTACCTGGAGAGTTTTGGAATGTGGTGCTGGAGTCGAATGAAGATAGAGTGTACAGACAAGATAGCAAATGAAAAAGTCCCGAGAAGAGTGGGCAAAGAAAGGACTTTACTGAGCACGATCCTGAAATGAAAAAGAAATTGGATCGACTTGTTCTGCAAAAGAGTGCTTTCTAAGGTAAAATATAAGGACTGAAAGGAATTGGAAGAAGAAGAATGTCTATGATTGGCGGCTTACGTGAGAAGAGAAAATACAGAAAACTGAAATCCGAAGCGCAGGACCAGAAAGCATGGAAGCAGAAGTTTCGAAAAAAATGCATAAAAAGTGTAAAAAAGAGCGGGGGATGGTGGTAATGGAAATGATAGACGAGGAAGGAAAAAGAAATCATTGATTTGTGATGGCTTTCATACCATGGGCCTGCCATCGGGCGGACTATCATTTATTATTTATTATGCTGCCAAGTAAAAATAACTCTCATCTGGCATTACTGCATCAATAATTACTTGCCTTATTACACAAATAGCAATAATAAAATTTATCACGTAGAGATGATACAACTGTTTAGAGTTTCCATCTGTAGAACCGGCATAATATTAAGTCAAATCAGCACAACTGATAATTGGACTTTTAAGTTTTAATTACTCTTCAAAGCAGTTTGAAATGTATTTGAATCTCTTAGTTTATAAGCTACTACCCTTAATGCAGATCCAAACAAATTTCTTTAAATCTAGATAAATTTCTAGAGATCCAGACTAGTATCTTTAAAACTAGACCAATTCTAGAGATCCAGACAAATTTTTTTAAATCTAGACAAGTTTTTAGAGATCCAGACAAATTTCTTTAAATCTAAACAAGTTTCTAGAGATTCAGACAAATTTCTAGAGATCCAGACAAATTTCTAGAGATCCAGACAAATTTCTAGAGATCCAGACAAATTTCTAGAGATCCAGACAAATTTCTAGAGATCCAGACAAATTTCTTCAAATCTATACAGATTTCTAGAGATCCAGACAAATTTCTTTAAATCTAGATAAATTTCTGGAGATCCAGACAAATTTCTACAGATTCAGACATATTTCTAGAGATTCAGACATATTTCTAGAGATTCAGACATATTTCTAGAGATTCAGACATATTTCTAGAGATTCAGACATATTTCTAGAGATTCAGACATATTTCTAGAGATACAAATTTCTTTAAATCTAGACAAATTTCTAGAGATCCAGACGAATTTCTATAAACACTGACCAATTTTAACAGATCCTGATAGATTTCTAATTAGGAAAGTATTATCAATTTTTGTCATTTAAATGAAAATTATTAGGTCTATTGATTTCAAATAATACATTCTTATTTTTATTCTTATTATTTTTTAATAAATTCAAATATTAATTAATACCTTGTCATCTTTGGAAACATTAACATTAGCCCCATGTGCTAAACATTTCTTCATCATTTCAATATCGGATTGCTCCACAGCTTGCAGCAATGCCTCATCTACAGGTCTCAAATCTTGCTGCATTTTCCCATGCTGCTGCTTCATAAGCGACGACGAAGTCTGTTGCGAAACCAGTTTTTTCTTGCTCATGGTAATATAAATAAATGCAGAAATTTTGTAAATAGTAGCAAAGATAATTTAACTAAAAAAGATTGATTTTGATAAACTTAGCGTCATAGAATTTCAAACATATTTTTTCAAACGTCAGCAACGTTACGCGGTTATCGTATGTCGAGCATGGTCAGCTTTTAAACGGTATATGAATTCTTAATAATACTTGCACTTGGATCAGAGAATTGTTTTAAAAACAATATATTGAATGACATAACTTTAGAAATTAATTAACTGAAAATATTATTAGTTACTATTTCTACAATTGTGAATATAATATAAACGTGTTTGAAAAATCACGATTGTGAATTTGATAAATATTTTTATTTTATATTAAAATATTTTGATACTGTATCGTTTACGGATATTGTTTTAGAGTTCTATAAATGTCAATGCACTCAATGTTTTGTTTAATTTTGAAACTCGATTCAAATTAACATATTATTAGGAAAACTTTGACTTTATTTTAAAAGCGAGGTTTGGATGTCCACATTTTTATATGTATAAACACTAAGGTTTATACAAAAACCGATATTTCAGAAAACCGGTTTTCAAATTTTAATTTTACTAAAAAACAGGTTTCAGCCGGTTTTCGAATATTATATAAAAAAATTTTTGCTCGACTGTTCTGTAATTTATCCGCAAATTTAGTGCGATTTAGAGCAGTATTTGTTTGAAGTTATTGTTCAATTTTATGGATAGTAAACAAAATTATTTTAATTTTAATTAGTAGAACTAAAAATAATAGTTTACCTTGATTAAATATCTTTGAAAATAATTATTCGTTATTCATGCATCATTTTCACATATAAGAATGAAAATATTTTTATGATGGTGAAAGGAAAGTTTTCGAATAAATAAAAATATTACATTTTCAAAAAAAAACATTCATTAAATTAAAAAAAAATTAGATACACGTTGATACATTCTTGTTAATATCAATTTTACTTTTAAAAACAACTAAGCTAACAAAGGTTCGGGTATTTTCTATTCCGAGTAATTTTAATTAATTAATTTTAAACGTTCTAATTATTTTCTTGTTTAATAAAATATGATTTAAAATATGAAAAAAAACTGAAAACTTCTATCGAATTGTTACTTAGATGTGTCCTTTCTTTACTCACAAAATTTCCTGTAATAGAAAATACTCTCATACTTGCGATCGAATTAAGCTTAATTGTTTTTAAAGCCTGATATAATAATTCTAAGTTTTTTGTTCTTTTATTTATGGCTTCTAGGACTAAAAACTTTTTTTTAAGTTTGAGTAGAGGAAGTTACTTCTTCAAGAAGAAGTCACATAGATTTAAATTAGTATATACACTGGTATAAAAATCTAAATTAATATATACAAATTACAAAACCTTTCTGGGAACCATTGAAGTCAAAACGCTTTCATCTATCTTTTATATTTGGCTATATTTGTCATTTTCCATTTATCCAGTGAAAACCGACTTTTTTCACTAAAAAACCGGTTTTCGAATTCCATAATTTTCGCCAGAAACCGGTTTTTGAAAGCCGACAAACCCTAATAAACACCATTTAAATTTTTCAAAAATTTTGTTTTATTATTAATAATAAAATATACACAATTTTTAGTTCATTTAAAAATCTATCACAAGACATGGGAATGATATTGTCAAAATTAGTACTCCAATTTTAATTGGTAAATGTTAATCACAGAGATAGATTACAATAGATCAATATATAAAATTTAACAATATGATATTTAATATGCTCCTTATTGAATAAACAATCTTTGAACTTTTAAAATTAATAACAGTCGTGCAGATATTCCAAATCTACATTTCAAGTTCAAAACAATCAATTTTTTTTATTAAACATCGTAGAGAAATATTATATAAATATTTAAGTACGTGTAACAGTTTTAAAAGAACATATATACAAGACTTTGATCTAAACTTTTCGTCATTCTTTAATAAAAATCTCTAACTTTATTTATACAATTAATAACTGCATTACTTTAAAATTAAAGAAATAAACATGTTGTTAATATCCGAATATGTTTTAACAAAATATTTTTTATTGAATTAAAAATTATTTCCGTTTAGCGGTGATTTTATCAATGCTTTCGTAAATAATTTCTTGGGGTTTTTGTTTAACATTCGCAGTTGCAGGCGCATCTCTTGACGCGTTTTTCGCGGCGAAGGGGATTCTCCTTGATGCTGCGCACAGATCTTGGTTGGACGACTAAAAAATAGAACATGGGTAAATAATCATATCAAGAAATAAATATTAATCTACAAAAAATGCCGTAAATTATGGATGTACAAAATAATTATTATTATGGTAATAAATCAAATTAATGGTTTAGAAAAATGGGTAACTATTGGTTATTGCTGATCTGATAGTAAACAGTGGGACAAAATTGGAAGAATTAGGTTAATTTAGGTAGACTTTGTGAAAAGGAAAATAAAAAAAATGTATCAATTTAATAAAGTGGAATTAGAGGAACAAAAAGTGAGTAATTATAAACCTAAATATGTAAATGCAAAACAAAAAATTCTACTTAAACATTTTTGTTTTGTTTTTCAAGACAGAATTGTGCCTTTGATGTTCGCACCTTGTATATGTGACGCTTATTTTTTAACTTCCTGAAGGAGAAGTTTGTTTTCGCTAAAATATCCTATTTGATAATTTTATGTTTTCTCGACGTTTCAATTCTTTACAATTATTCTGAAGCGATTGGGACCAAATTTGAACTAGTTCGAAGTGGCGTTCTGCCTCAAGGCAAGTTGCATTAACATCCCGAAATACGTAATAATTGATTTGATCAATCGAAATTGAGACTTAGATATTTAAAAACAATTTCCAACTGTATATTATATACGTAGTCCATAATATTATTTAATTATTTTTATTAATAGTAACATTTTTCACATAACCAGAGAAGTTTTGAAAACTGCTCACTTAATATTTTACTATTTCCAAATCCATTTCTAATTTCGGCTTGACCGATTTTCTTGTAATTAAGGGTTGAAATTTTTTTTGATTAAATTTTTTTATGGATATCATGGTCCTAAAGAACATACTGCAATATTACAGTCCTACGACACGTCGTTTAATTTTAAAAATTCATCAAAGTTTTAAAAATGATGATGGTTAAAATTTGTTACAAAAGCTGCCTTTGTTATGGGATAAGTTAAAATTTGAATTTAGCCAATTTGAAACCATTGAAATAAATTTGATAATGAGGAGCCTCTTTTCAGTTTGCGTTGACGATTGACAATATTATAGCGCTACGGCATGTCGTTCAATTTTAAAAAATCATCAAAGTTTTAAAATATATAATGGTCAAAATATGTGACAAAGCCGCTTTTATGATGTGATAAGTCAACATTTGAATTTAACCAATTTAAAACCATTGAAATAAATTAACTTTGCGTTGACGATTGGACAAACCGTTGCATCGGAATTAGAGAAAAATGCCTTTTTGTAACCGTTTTTGAAGCAATGTAGCTATCTCAAGTTTAAGGATTTGTGCATTTTTTGCAGAAATTACCTAATGAATATCTGAATAGACCTCTCTTTATATCTATGTCACCGACCGAGCAGTCTTCAAAACTTTTCTGGTTGGGTAAAAAATGTTACCATTAATATAAATGATTAAATAATATCAAGTACTACGTGTATGATATATGAATCGTGCCAGTATTTTTTAAAACAGATGCTTAATATTTCAGAAAATATTTTTTTAAGTTTTTTTTTAAATGTGTTTTTAATGAAATTTAACATGGCGTTGAAGTTCATGCACTAAACAATCCTACGAAATTGGTTGATTTATATAACGTTATTTAAATTTGGAATAATTGGTTGCAATTTTAGGACATACAAGCGCATAGGTTTGTGCTCTACAATTAATATAATACATATATTATAAATGTGTTAGAAAGATATTTATTGGAAAACGCTTTTTTTACCAAAAGCGAAAACTTTTATCTCAAAATAAACAGTTAAATTTTTTATTTAAATAACTAAGGAGCCGATTCTGCCGTAAAATAAACCAATGTTATGGCAACGCTATGGTAGCAGTTTTCATACAAAATACTGACAATATACATGTGGTTGCTGTGCAATCAGGCGTTTTAGATAGAAAATCTAACCTAGAAAACTCACAAATGTAAAAAAAAAGTTGTTATCATAAGTGCATATATGTGGTGTGCATTAATAACATATGAGTGAAGTTGCATTTTATGTGCAAAACGCCTGATCACACAGCAAATATAAGGCATTTTGACAGTATTCAGTACTAACTAACATTGATCTATTTTACGGCAGAATTGGACCATAAATCTCATTGCCAGTTAAATAAGTCAACTATTACACATATAGGAAAGTTCATGAAAATTGCTTTCAGGCAAAATGCCATTACACTTAATTTCAATTTATTTCCATCCCTTATCTACTTACAATGTGGGCGTTCGGATTCCATGTTCTCTGGTGGTGCCTGTTGTACCATGGGCATGGGAATACGTACGGCCTGAATGGGCAAGTTGCGCGCGAAAGCGGCCACTTGTTGTGCGTGCATCACATGTTCGGGCATGGCGTTGATTTCTTCGGCGATCTCTTCATCTTCTTGGCTGTCTTCGTCGCTTTGACTGCCGCTGGCGTTGCTGCTGCTGGAGTCCACTTGGGATTGCGATTCTTGAGACTGAGAAAGATTAATGGATTTAAGAAATGAGAGTGGATTACCTAAATTTATCTCGAAATCATTTTGAGTTAAACTGAGATTTGCTATGTTTATAAACATAGCAAGAAAAACTTAATCATGGAAGAAAAATAGTTTGTGATTGGCACTACAAATTGTTTTATATATAACGCTACAGGTTCACAAAAAAGATGTCGGTATAGGGTGTGCGGCATATGTTTTCCAATATAGTTTTTATTGAACTTAGAGTCAAAATTGAGGGTCAAATGACAAAAAGTTAAAAAAAAATACGACAAAATCTCTGATCTAGAAGTTCTTCTCCAATATTATTAAAATCTTATATTTTCTGTAGTTTCGTGGTCCTATTCACCTTTTACTATTGAGTTTAAATTGAATGATCTAGTATGTTTTTTGTATAATTCAGCTGTAATTTGTAAACACATTTACACTCCATTGCTCCTGGGCAATCTGCAAACATATTTGCAATCGAATATTTGAAAATGTGCTTTCATATTAGTACTGTAATCTAAATACAAAACTTAATAGATCATTTGAGTAGTCATTTAAGGTAAAAAGAGTCAGGAAACGACAAAAATTATAATATTTTAAGTATCATGCAGAAGAATTATTAGATCGAATGTTTAGTCTTTTTTCTCGATTTTTTGCCATTTGACCCCCAAGATTGACTTTAGATTCGTATTCTGTGTTAAACACTACATTGGAAAACATATGCCGCACACCCAATACAGACAACATTTTCTATTTTGTGGACTTTTGTAATCGTTGTATTGTTCTTAAGAAAATATCTTCATCATAAACTAGATTGTGTGAAAAAATCATGAAAATCACGAAAAAATCCTTAAAACGGGTATAATAATAACTTTTTATTCTTATTGTTATTATTATGAATAAGCAATTAAAACTAACATCTATTTCATATAACTTTATATGCTCATATTGAAATTTATACAGAGATTTCAGTGAGAATATCTCCTGTTAGAAATTACATAGTGCCAAATATATTTTTATCTCTCTACTAATCTATTGGCTCTCTACTCTATTGGCCGAATTTTGGTTTTACATCCGAAAAAATTAGTTGGAACAAGAAATCAGTTATTATAAGCTTAAATATGCAAACGAAGAACAGAAAATTATGTTTAAACAATTTTTTGGTATTTATGAATTATGTGACTTTAAAGAGGCAACGGCCTATAATGTTCGCACCTTTTGTATGAAAATGTTGTTGCAGGTTTAAAAGCCTAGCAAAGGCTATAAATATTGGTTATCTTGACAACAAAAAGCTATTATTTGTTAGTAAAATATCAAAAAAATTTAAATGTGACCTGAAAGTTACGCGGACCCATAGAGGGTTAAAATCTGCTTGCCACTATTAGTTTAATCCTCAAATTAATTGCGGGTACAATAATTTGAAACGTAAATATTGCATTCACAATATTCACATTCTAAATTTATTATCGCTTACGTATTTTATAGCTCATTTTAATCCAAATACGCGTTCTGAATACCAAACGTTACTTGCGATGTTGGAATAAGAATTGGCTTGAATTATTAATCGGGCTGACTCATTTGTTTAGAACCCGGTAGTTACATTTCCAGGATTTGTTTTTGGCAATCTCATTATGGCGAATGATTAGAATTCGAATAGAGTAATGTTTACATTTTTAATTGCGCAATGTTTCATTTCAGTCTGTAATAAATATGGATATATACGTTCAATTTTGTATATGATGAATAATTCCAATAGTAATTGATTTCCCAAAGGAAGAGTTTGTTTTCGCCAGATTTGCTAATTTATATATTTCATAATAATTATGTTTTCTAGACGTTTCAAATCATTCTGATATCAAAATTGGAAAAATTGTCCATGATTATGTGGGCCAAAATTTGACCTTTTTCGATGTTTTTGTGCACCGATTATGATAATTTAAGTCATTTGATCGAGTTGATTAGTTTTGCGGAATGATCGGCCGAGCTGTTTCTTTAAAATGTGCTTAGTTTCTCTAAAATGTGCAACATTTTTTGTTCACGTTTAGAGAAAAAACCTGAACCGATATCGCAAATTCAAAGACTGTTCAGAAAATCTGAGTTGAATCCTCGCCCTGATTAGTTTTTGTTAGAGATCATCTGGATTGTCTTTTTAAGTAATAATTAAATTTTTTTTTTTATGTTGATGAAAAGTTTTTGGTTATAACGAACGAATATTGTAGATCTACTAAAGGCAGTTGAATTATAAAAAATCTATCATTTTTGTAGACCTACTAAATACACTAAAGTGTATCGTTACAATGTTAAAAGTTGCCAAATTTTATGTTTGATTGAATAAGTCGATTGTGTACATATTGGGAAGCATTTGCAACTTGTATCACTTACTTCTAGTTCACTTGAAATTTTGCTAGAAAATCACATTAATAAACCAGCTTCTGAGAAATTTTTTGATTCAATTTACGAAGTTCATCCTAATTCTAAAACCAATAAAACCATATGATTGGCTACTTTAGAAGTTACCAGAAATTTAAAACAAGTCTTTGGATTATTATAATTGGTTTGTTTCTAAGAGAATAAAAATCTAGTTTACTTGTTCATGTATCTCTAGTATTATTTATTTGAATTTTATATATTATTATACCTCTTGGGCCTGTTGGAATTTGGCTTCGGCAGCTTCCTGGATTGCGCGGAAGGCTTCTGGAGTCATACCAATGCGTTGGAGACCGACGGACAATGGAACGTGTTGTACCTGCAATGAATATGTATAATATAAAGCGATTACATAATCACTCATGTAGTGAAAGTTTATGATATGTTAATTATTGCTTGACTGGCGGAAGGATACTTCATAAGTTTGCATATGCAAGCATATGATGTTAATTGTATCGTTGTGATGCATTATGATAATTAGGTTTTAACAATTATTTGAACAATATAAATTATATTTAAATAGAAAAGTTGTATAGAGCTAGGTTCAACTGATTAATGATTAACTCGCAGGTATGTATGTAAAATAAGTTTATACATACATACACTCCGTTTCACCTGAGTAGAATTGGGATCAATACGATCCTAATTGCTATTGCTTGGGTGGAGTGACTAGGGCGGATGCTGAGCACGCCATTGTGGAGTGCAAAAAATGGGAAAAGGATAGGCAAGAACTATGGATGGAGATAGTATGGAAAAAAATCTCCCTCCCAACCAATTTTATAACATTATTGGCAAAGAAAAAGATATATTGTGCACTATACAATTATATACAATCAAATAAAATAAAAGTGTAAAGATAACATATAAAATGTTCAATGACCAATGTACAAAGTCAATAAATAAACAATAAAAAAACTCACGGATGCAAAATTATGAATACCTTCATCATAGACTGCAAATTATGCTTGCATGTAATTGAAATTTAGACTGAATTACACTGAAGAAAATGTAGTGTATGCAAATAGTAGTTTCTTTTTATAACTTAGAGCTCTCGTTAGACACTAATGTTCCTAGTCAAATTATTAATTTACCTGTGGTGGCTCGTTAGGGTTCATTCCCCTCAAAATCTCAGATGGTATGGCAATCCTCTGGATATGTACACGTACTTGTGGTCCCATCTCTTGGGCTCCCATTTCTTGTGATCCCATTTCTTGAGATCTAATTTCTTGTGGTGGTCTTATTGGGAAAGCGCGAGCCTCTTGTGGCCTTACAAATTCTTGTTGTGGCCTGACAAATTCTTGTTGTCTCATGAGATGTGGGGCGAACATTTGTTGGGGTGGTTGTTGTTGTTGTTGAGGAATTGGCATGGGCATGTTGTGAGACATCATTTGAGGTGGCATCATTTGTTGGTGAGCTTGTGGGGGTTGGAAGTGGATGGGGAAGAATCTTGTAGCCGGAGAGACTGGAGCCTGATAATAAATATAATTAGAATAAAATATTTTCTAATCTAACATATGATATTTGCTTTATAGAGATATTGTTTATAGATGATGGTTATAACATGGTTTTAACAAATAATTACAAATTACAAACCTGCATTTGTTGAGCTGGTTGAGGCATTTGTGGCATTTGTTGAGGTTGTTGTGGTTGTGGAGCTGTTAAATGGATAGGCAAAACAATTGGTTGGCGAATGTTGTCATCTCCAGACCTAATATTTGGAAAAAAAAACAAGATTAAACCCAAAAATGGAAAACTAATTCAACAGATTTTCCAAAAATTCTGGCCGTTAGAAATACTGGATCTAGCAAAATATTATTGTAAAAACAATCCATTATTGTAGATAGTTTCTATTTGGCACCACAAACCTTGCTTCGTGTCCACTTTCGCAGAAGATGGCCATTCTTTCGCCAGTAACGCGTTGGAATTTAGGCTCAGTGGTTAAGTTCACTCCGAATGGAAGGTGGATGCTGCGAGGTTGATGGTCAACTACTTCTTCAGCACGTCGCTTCTCTACAACGCAGTTCATTCTGGATCTAAATTTTTGTAAAATCCAAAGTTCATTACTCGAGACATTAATGATGATAGATTATAATTTTATCTATTATTCTTCTACCTTTGGTTCTTTGCGATGAGAGCACCAGCTAATTCATCGAAGTCCAACTGCAGTGGCAACTTGAATTGAACGGTGTGGCCTTCTTCATCAGAATCATCGGTTTCTGGTGAATATGAATCGTCGGAGATGGAATTGTTGTCTTCCGAGTCTTCAGATTTTGGTTCATCATGTTCGGGAGTATCGCCAACTAATGAATGTAATTTTCCTTCGTCAGTTGGTATTTTGTTTTTGCCTGCTCCCAACTGATTGGAGCTGGCTGATGCTTGCAGTTGCTCTGCTTGGGGGAGAGCTTCCTCCTGAAAATAAATTATTGGAATTGAAAAATTGAATCAAATGAAATTATTTTAAGATGAGATTTTAAGATTTTAGTATTTCTAAACTTTCTTTGAAAAACACCATTATAATGAACTTAGTTGTTAATCTTGGTAAACTTGATTTTGGTCGACTATACATAATATTTTATGATTTATATGCTATTAGTATTTTATTATACTAAGGTTATAAGACAGTTGTCAAAAATTCTTAAAAAATAAAATATATCTTTTACTCTACTTTCATATTTTTGTCACGCATACCCTACTTGAACTTGATCTCGCAAAATGAATGTCGAAGACAAAGATTTTGCAATAAATAATAATTCAATGACGTGTTGTAATAACAGGGCGGTATAAGAGCAGAAGAATTTGAATGGTAAATAATATTGATGCTATTTTGATCGTTCATTTCTTATGCAAGATGTTCATTTTGCTCTTAAACAATACTTCAACATAAAATACATAGTCAAATGTGATTTTAATTCGTTCACTTTAAAATTGATATATAATTGGCATAGTACACATTTTGTTCTCACGAATTTATAAATAGCATGTATGATAAGATCATAAATACAATTTTTTTGAAATTAAAGAGTGAAATGGAAGTTAATAATCAGGATTAGATCTCAATGTTTTGCCAAATTTAGTAGCAGTAAAATTCAACCAAAGTACAGGTTTCAAAATATTTTTATCACTAAAATTTTTCTGGAAGTGGTGTCTTATATCGGTCAGATACTTAGCATGTTTATTTGAATAAAATAATAATAGTTTGGTTTAACTACTCAGTTATAAGGTGTTTTCAAAATATTAGAAAACATGAAAAGTTTGCAGACATAATGATGTTCATAAACTAAGTTTGCTAAGTTAATTCAATAGGTAATACAAAGTTTCGAGGAATAAATTTCCAACTCATGGTGTATGTAAAAAAACAATATTTTACAATTTCTAAAATACAGTAGCACATTACAAACAAAAATAATTACATACAAAACGGAAATCCTTCAATGTAACACCTCTTTAGAATAAATTAAGCTAATAATCAGAGCGTGCTATTATCATCAATTGATTCAAAATAGAAGTTTTTTTTGAACAATGTTAATTATTATTCCGTAGTGCTGAAATTGTTCAATTGAACGTTGCATTTAATTTGAATTCCATTAATATTATTTATGCCACATTGAGAAATATTTGGTAATATCTGATAATTTATCATATGCTGTTTGATGAAATATTCAGCGAGCGTAAGAATTAATAATTTTAATGAGAAATATGTGAATATAGTAATAATAAGCTTTCAACTCAACATGAAGTCAACACAGTCAAAAATTTTAGTATAAAATTATTTACAATTATTTAGGTATCAAATCAAATGTTAATCAACATTTTTGTAAAGCAAGTAAAGTGCAAGTTAAAAAAAGCATTATTTTTCAATAAAGTGAATTTGAGATAAATAACGTTCATCAAAGCATTGTTATGAGTTATAAAAATTTAAGAAATTGTATTAAATGTCCATTAATTAAATAACAAATTTAAATTGACTTCTCATAAAGATTCTGATGGTCAAGATGGTAACTTCCTAAGAAATCGCGATTACCTAGGAAAATATTTTCCAATTATATTGGCCATCAAACGTTTTAACTTTTATTGATTTACTTCTGATATTATTCCTTTAATAAATTTATTTTATTACTATGACTGGGTTAAAGTTCACATCACCAGTCAAGATGAAATAAAGAAAGTTAACACAAACTATCCCACCCACTCTACTTCAGATGTAAGAATCATCTCGTTATCTTCTATAAGAGTATTTGTTTATAACTATAAATTTTCTTAGTAACTGTAGTTTTCCCTTCTTTTATGGTCTCTATGAGAAATCACACAATGTGCATTTTTTACATTATTCAAAGTCACCATGAAGTAAATGTGCGATCACGTTCGTTCGATATATCCTATCCACTATCCAGCATCGACGGAATAATGTTTGTGGAGTTCAGAGAGCATTCGTCATTATATAGAAATGTTCTTACCCAGGGGGAAATAACCTTTATATTTAAACCACAAAGTACTGGATGAAAGAGAGTTCTATCATTCTTTGATACATGCTTATTTTGTGTTTGAGGTTTTAAGAGGGACAATAATTGTAAGCTCTGCTGCTGACCAGCTAATATTGGTGATGAAGATAGTCATTTCTTCTTGAAGTTGTTTTTTTTCAATAAGAGTTCCAACAACTATTTATAATCACAGGATTAGCATCGTCTTATTTGCTTACGATTTATGGTACATATTGGCTTATAATTATTTTTACAATATAATTGTCGATTATCATTCAAATCGATCAGCATCAAATGCTTCAGTATCAAAAAACGCATTCACCTTGTCTATTATATAAAATTTGTCTAAAAATCTTGAACCACAAGATCTTGAAAAATCCAGTTATACACAAGAATAAGAAATAATCTTTCTGTTGTGTATGTTATAAAAAGGTTGTTGAAACTTTGTCTTAATATAATTATGTACATTACTCATACCTCATGATCACAAAACGTATAATTATTAAAATTTCTACATTTCCTTACTCGCATGGGCTAGTTAGAAACTAGAGAGTGCTTTCGCTTCAATCGGATTAAAACTGACATTAATACTCTTCCTCAGACCTCATCTTGAATAATTATTTACTTGTACATTTAAAAATGATTTTTGCAGAAATCCTTGCCAGTGACTATCACTAATCCGATTTCACCTGGTACGCAGGAGCTTGTAAAAAAAGTTATGTTGCTCAATTGAGGATCTCGTGAGAAAACTTGAACCAACTTTTGCATATAGTTTTATACTGTAAGCAATCAGTTGTCCACTTTTTTTATTTCACATGTCCATTTATTTAGAGGATAGATTAAATCGCAGACCACGATATGTCAGTTTCCTCTATAGGCGCTTTCTAGGAAATATCACATCGTGCAAAGTTGTTAGAAAGCACTCGCTGAGTTGCAGATAAATTTCCGATAAGTGGATATAAATGCAGAGATCATGTCCATCTTTAATACGAGTACTGTAAAATGATGACTAGGAAGAATTATTACCGATTGCCTAATAAATTGATTACCGTAAATGTTAGAGGAAGCAAGAGGACAAGGAGTTTCTCAGGAAACGGAAAATATTTATTGACATAGTCAAACTGATGGCTATGGGTGTCAATCTGAAAATTTTTCTCTGTTGCGGCTGATAAATTCTGAAATTCTGTACTTAGGGTATAAATGTTAATGAATTTATATCAATAACCCCAAAGTTAATAAATACAGTGTTTTTAAAAAAGTATGCGTAATATATGTTGTTGATCCAGACACATAATCATAATTTAAATATTAGCAGAAAATTAATTTTGATACTTTACTTTCGACATTCAATTCATACAAAACTATAAAGCATTTGGAATAGTACATTCATAAATAATTTTTGCCTTCTTGTTCTAAAAATTTAGAAATAATTTCATGAAGAAGAAGAACAGAAAAGAGTTAATTCTGTGATTCCAGCATGATGTCATTTATATCAGCATTCTGTAATTTGGCAATTATTTGATCTTAAAATTTTATTTTCAAAATTTGAGAATAAAAAAAATGTCGCGTTGAATAAGTATGAAAATAGAACAGCAAAAATTTTGCTTAACATTAAACGTATTTGACGAGAAGACGATTTACGTCTTAAAAACCAATATTTACTTAATATAGAAGTGTCTAATTAGAAACCACGGCCAATCTTATTTAGGTTTTTTTTTCATTTGTTTACAATAATGTTATTTAAATAAATTGGGTTATTCGAATATATTTATTTATTCTAGTTTTGTGAGAGACTACAATTCTCATATTATAAGAATTAAATAATGAGATGTTCCATAATTATGGTAAAATTGCAAAATAATTGCAGACCAAAACCAATCGTGTATATTTAATTTTTACTGCATAATTGAGAACAATTAAAATACGTCGTACATAATAAATAGCAAACGAAGAAGAAATAATAATTTTGAAATACATAGGTAAAAATAGGTTAGGTAAACTTGTTTAATTTATATAAATTATGTGGTAAGGTTTTTAATTTTTTTAATTACAACTTATAAGTGAATCTGAATTATTTTTGTGTGATTAATTTGAACCAGCGAATGAACTTTAATGTAAATGCTTCAGAAAAAATAAATATGCATATTATACGAATTTAAATCAAATTCAATATTTGTAAAATAATTACAAAGATATCTATTTATCGTAATGATTTGTACACAACCAAATATAAAACTATGTATTTGCAAAGCCGGTTCACAAAATGTGAGCTTTCGCATATAATCGAAAGCAAATACATTTCCTCGTGTCAATTTTATGGTAAAATTTTAATTATAATATTTATTTCCGAAAAAGTAGTCATTTCTAGTTTCTTCACACAACGTCAATATCAATCAAAAGTTTTTGAATCATTCTAATCGGATGCTCCGTTCTCTCAAGTGTTGCTATTTTTGCACTTAATGCTTCGTATCTCCGAAACGATTGGACCTGCCAAAAACGATCCATGCTCTCGAAGTCGTGGACGAATTGTATCCAAACATACACACATAGATTTAGGGATGGCCAATTGAATAAGTAGATTTAGCAATAAGCAGAACAATAATTCACTAATGTGCAGAGTTATTAATTGGTTAATTGTTTCTACTGATACCACATTGCAAACTAAATATTTTTTTTGTGTCTGTATCCATAGATAAGTTAGATTGTTGATTATAATCTAATGAGTATTCTTGATTATTTATATATTTAAAAAAATGTAAATAATATAAATAATATATTATAAATTTCATATCCGAATCTCGTGTTGGCGCCCCCTAAGACGTGCGCCCGCATTTTTTGCACGCATCGCATTCAAGGTAGAAGCAGCCCTGCATACATACTGTGTACACACACATACATTTATTCATTCTAAGATATGCCAAAATGTTCAGA